AACATGAACATTAAAATGATTGGCAGTCTGGCCAACTTGCAGTCGTCCAAAGTCTTGGTTCCTCTGATCTCTCGTAATTCGTACCATGATGATTGTGTCAAAACAAAAATGATTTCAGGCGAGGTTGGGACTCACTTTCATTGGTAGGGTTGTGCACGTGCCTTTTCATTTTCACGAATGTCATACGGAACCTTTTACCATGTCTGCCTCTTTAGGTGCGTTTGGTTGATATGCTTTTTCCTCAGAAAACACACTGATGTTGGTAATAACTGTCAATTTGGATTGAAAAACATGTTAACAAAACAATACAATCATAATAAAAACACTGTTTTGTAAGAACAAAATCTTGCATTTGGTTTTGAAAAGCGATGTTTCTTTTGTGGTTCAGTATATAATAAAAATAAAATATAAAATAAAAATAAAATAAAATCGAAAATCTAGGACTCTGGCGGTGTCCACAGATCATAATGGTGCCAAGGACATGCCAGAAACTTCATGGGTTCAAATTCCAGTTTGCCCAAAATATTTGTGGAAGTTTGTCAGTACCATACTAGCCATGAACACCCGGGTTATAATTGGTCTTCAGTAACTATTCTTGCCGTAAGAGGCGACTAATGAGATCGGGTGGTCAGGCTTGCGGACTTGGTTGATACGTCATCGTATCCTAATTGCATAGATCAATGCTCATGCTACTGGTCTCTGGATTGTCTGGTCCAGACTCAAATATTTACAGAGTGCCGTCATATAGCTGGAATACTGCTGAGTGCAGCGTTAAACAACCAAGCAACCAGCCAAAGTGGTACACATCAGGGAACTGCATCACCTCAAGTTTTCCTCCCAAATAGAATACTGTTCAATGCAGTGTGAAACCCGACTAACTCACTCAGGTCTTCCTGCAGAAAGGTATCATGAATGAATGATCTGATTACATAATATTACTCAAAGTATTGATTTAACCAGAACTACACATATACTTTCATGAAGTTGAATTGATCCGAAGGTTGGGTTTTCTATGCTTTTCATCTCATTTTCTAATGTCAGTATTTTTGTTTGATTCTAAGAGTAACAAGAAAGATTAATTATCGTTAAGTAGCATACTAGTATTGCATACACAGCTTTTTGAGAAAGGGGGGTGCACACTTCATATTCACCCGTTATCACGCGAGTTCCAATGGTCTGCACCCCCCGGATCCGCCTATGATACACTGTTAAGGTTGTCGTCTTTGATACCATGAGCATAGGTACATATAAAAATATTAATTATTTGAGATTTGTGCCTTCTTTCGATGATATTTCAGAAAATGCAGATTGGATCACCATGGATGCTGGGCAGGAGTAGTTCTTGGATATCTACAATGGGAAACAAACCCAAGCCAACATATGTTATATTTGGGATTACACTTTCTTAGTGTGCTGGCGATTAGGTGCCTGACTCTGACGGTGTGGGTTCGAATCCTGGATGGGACTCAACCCCAAAAAGTACTAGTATCTGTACTTTACTGAGAAAGTGTAATCCCAAATATAACATATGTTACATTTGACCACTTTCTAAAAATGGCATTGTGTATTTCAAACCCAAGCCAAGGTTACGGCTAGGGAATGCTTTAACTACAAGTCTTCCCAGTTGACACAAATTGTTCAAAACACTGCAATACCCCTAGGGCCACCCCAAAGCCCCACCACCACTTCTGCCCAAAGACCCAACAAGACTCCACACTAAAGTACAACCCACATTTGTGTCACCCTTCATTGCCCCATCCACGTCTCAACCAGAACCCCACCACCACTTCTGCCCAAAGACCCAACAAGACTCCACACTAAAGTACAACCCACATTTGTGTCACCCTTCATTGCCCCATCCACGTCTCAACCAGAACCCCACCAACACTTCTCCCCAAAGACCCCCCCAAGACTTCAATCATAGCCCAAGCCATGATTCAACCATAGCCCCACCCATGATTCAACCACTCCGCCCATGATTCAACCATAGCCTCACCCATGATTCAACCATTCCGCCCATGATTCAACCATAGCCCCACCCACACTTCAATCATTCTGCCCATGCTTCCACAAAATAATTTCCCCATTCCACCCCAAAGCCCCGCCAACACTTCAACCAAAGCCAAACCTACATTTCAACTATAGCCCCACAATCAACACCCTAGTGCCCCACCATACCACACTCCCACATCTCTTCTCCACCATTTCCTCAACCGATATCAGCTGCACCTCAGCTCCTCATTATGACACCTCAAACACAACCATTAAATCAAGCTTTGACAAAATCCAACATCCTATTTCTTTCCGACATTTACAAATCATAACAAACCTAAACCTACTTGAACCTACAGTAGGATCATGTGGTACGAAAAACTACCTGAGAGCATCCCATAATCCCCAACTTAAACAAACTCTGTATCCCCGCAGGTAAAACCAAATACCTGTCTGTGTATATAGGGATTGACAGCGCTACCCTGGTTCAGGACACGGCTATATATAGCAGTCCCAGCATTGGGTTATATAATGCCGTATATACTGGCTATATTGATTACCATCTCTGCCGATACTGCAGTATTGTCTCTCGGGTAGGACGGGTGGGTTGACTAGCAACCCATAAATACTAGACTGTTTTCCACACAACTGATATCATGTCACAAAACACAAGTGTTGTTTACAGAAAGTAAAAACATGTCTGTGTTGGTCTTTGTGGTGGTTGTATGAAAGCCAGTGTTGGTCTTCAGGAAGACAATCAGAGAAGTTGGTTTGAAGTAAGGTTTTAACGATGTTCATGTTAATATGATGACAGCTTTGTGATGAATTGTGTACAGACAGATTCAGGTTTTGTCATAGCAGATCCTGTTATAGTTCATTGACCGTTATAATATTTCATTGTACACTTGATTGTTGCTTGTGCTATCGACCATGGGTTTTTTCTGTCCCAGATTTCCTTTTTGGTATTATTGGAATATTGCTGACTAAGATGTCAAAACAACAGTCACTCATCCAATGGTGAGGAGTAATAAATGATGATGATGATGACGATGATGGTGATGATGATGATGCATTTACAACATCTTAAACTGGAATATTGCTTGAGTAAGATGTCAAAACTCATCCAATGGTGAGGAGTAATAAATGATGATGTTGATGACGATGATAATGTTGATGATGATGACTTTGATGATGATAATGATGATGTTGATGATGATGATGATGATGACGACTATGACTATGATAATGGTGGTGACTATGTTGATGGTGATGACTTTTTGATGATGGTGATGATGATGATAATGTTGATGATGATGATGATGACGACTATGACTATGATCATGGTGATGATGATGATAATGTTGATGATGATTACTTTGATGATGATGATGATGATGGTGATGATGATGATGCATTTTCAACATCTTAAACTGGAATATTGCTTTAGTAAGATGTCAAAACTCATCCAGTGGTGTGGAGTAATAGATGAAGATGATGATGATGATGATAATGTTGATGATGATGACTTTGATGATGGTGATGATGATGATGCATTTTCAACATCTTAAACTGGAATATTGCTTAAGTAAGATGTCAAAACTTATCCAATGGTGAGGAGTAATAAATGATGATGTTGATGACGATGGTGATGATGATGATGATGATGATGATGATGATGATGATGATGATGATGATGATGATGATGGTAATGCATTTTCAACATCTTAAACTGGTTTGCATAGAAACATATGGAATATTATAGGCTGCAGAATTTCTACACATCCAACATTCTACAGAGTACAAATACAGAAAATATCACAAATGAAAAGGTCATTGCAATAAACTGCACAAAATGCACTTAATGAATATAAAAAATATAAGTGAAAGGAAGCGAGAGTGCTGCTTGACCTTGAGTGTGTTGGAGCGGGATATACAATAGGGATGTTGGTTACCGACCACAGGAGGTTGCCAGCCAGATTATTTAATTACCATCAGACATCTTGACCTTTAAACATAACTTCCTCAGTATCATGTAAGAGCTAAGACAGCGGTAATAACCTGCTACATCTTTACTCTGCAACATCGTCCGTAGAGACATGCAATAGGCTGCACGCAACCAGAGATTCGTTACTGCTGCTGCTGCTCGATACCTTGACATATGCTGACACTTTGATGTTTTAAATGAGGATGTAGCATGGAGCAGAGACCATGATAAGGTAACACAGACAACGTGTCCAATATTCTCACAATATCTTTTTTAGTAATATGTGTAAATACCTCCCATGTCATGTATTCATCATATTTTTTAGCTTTTGAATTGCAAACATTTTTATTTGTTCAATGTGTGTGAATACATTTGTGATGCTGGTTATGCTTTATCATTATGTTTGGATTACATGTAGTTTCTAGAGGGTGAGATGAGGAGTTAAGGTAAAATGGGTCACCTTTTCAATATTCTCACAATAACTCTTTTCAGTAATATGTTTAAATAACTCCCAGGTCATGTATTAATTTTTTTATATAGTTTTGGAATTACAAACATTTTTTCTGTTCCATGCGTTTAATTAATCATTATCTTTTAATTACATGTGATTTCTAGATGATGAGCTAAGGAGTGAGAGAATATAAAACGTATCACCTGTCCAATATTATCATAATAATACTTTAGTCAGTAATATGTGTCCATAACTGCTAGGTCATTCATTCAATAATGTTTAAGTTTGGAATTGCAAACATTTTTGTCTATTTAATGAGTTGTGGTAATGATGGGTGAAATTAGATATGGTTTATAAATATTTTTTAATTTCATGGTGGTTTCTAGATGATCAGCCTGATTACGATTATAGACTGTGGTGCTATTCATCCATTGTGTAACAAATTAGTGCATAGTAACTGGTTAGGGCATATCATGACACTAAGTGGCTGGGTGCAGACAGAGCTTCATTGTTACACAATGTGACATTAGCATATCAACCCATCTCCCCAGCAACGTGGTATACAGCTCTATAATCCCCCCTGAAGCTGTGGGTCGGAGGGAATACAATTGTTTAACCCAATAATTGTTTTATGTGTTTACGATGTCTCCATCAAGGAAGCTGTATTGCCGTTACCCACCCATGTGGAACAATCGTGAAATATACAGCATGTAATGATTGATGGGCGATGACACATCACCACTGACAGCTGAGGACTAGGTGTTTTGGAGAAAGGTTGGAATTACACAAGATGGTCATTCAGTTGGGATAGCAAGCAGGTAGCCAGACAGCTGGTCACTGTGAGTCACAGGGATAGAAAATGTTAACAGTTTGTTTCATTGTGTTTGCGATAGTATCAAGTGTGTTACTGGAATGAGAAGATATCACTTGTGTGTATTTCACCCAGCTTGACTGCCACAGCAACAAGCATATCGGGATACTTTATCAAAGCATTGCATGGACCTATTGCCAACCCTTGAGTGGAGTATTCACGATAGTAATCAATCAGCAGAATAATCAGGTGGGAGGATTTTGATTCAGTCATTCAGGTAATTTCAGATTTCATTTATAGTCATGCAGGTAAAGTCAGATTTTAATTAAAGTATCCAGGTAATTTCAGATTTTATTTAAAGTCATCAAGGTCATATCAGATTTATATCTAAAGTCAGACAGGTAATTTCAGATTTTATTTAAAGCATCCAGGTAATTTCAGATTTTATTTAAAGTCATCCAGGTAAATTCAGATTCAATTAAAATCAGCCAGGTAATTTCAGATTTCATTTATAGTCATGCAGGTAAAGTCAGATTTTAATTAAAGTATACAGGTAATTTCAGATTTTATTTAAAGTCATCAAGGTCATATCAGATTTATATCTAAAGTCAGACAGGTAATTTCAGATTTTATTTAAAGCATCCAGGTAATTTCAGATTTTATTTAAAGTCATCCAGGTAAATTCAGATTCAATTAAAATCAGCCAGGTAATTTCAGATTGTATTCAAAGTCGACATGGTAATTTCAGATTTTATTGAAAGTCATCCAGGTAAATTCAGATTCAATTATAATCAGCCAGGTAATTTCAGATTTCATTTATAGTCATGCAGGTAAAGTCAGATTTTAATTAAAGTATCCAGGTAATTTCAGATTTTATTTAAAGTCATCAAGGTCATATCAGATTTATATCTAAAGTCAGACAGGTAATTTCAGATTTTATTTAAAGCATCCAGGTAATTTCAGATTTTATTTAAAGTCATCCAGGTAAATTCAGATTCAATTAAAGTCAGCCAGGTAATTTCAGATTTTATTTAAAGTCGACATGGTAATTTCAGATTTTAATATTTAAAGTCATCCAGGTAAATTCAGATTCAATTAAAGTCAGCCAGGTAATTTCAGATTTTATTTAAAGTCGACAAGGTCATTTCAGATTTCTTTTTCACTGTCTGACCCAGATGGATGGTATCGAACTCCCTTCCCTCAAACATCTTACATGTTAACCACACCCTTGGTCATAGGCTTCGTGACACTGAAAGTGATCAGTATTAGACAGGTGGATCTTATGTAGGATGCTTGCTCCATGTATGTACACCTAGTGTGTATAAGCTAGTGCAGCTCATGCTCCCATACTGTTGTATTGAACCTATACAAATCAATAAACCTGCAAAACATTGATTATTGAACTGTCGTACAGTACGTAAACCGATTGATAGACATGTAATCACAATTACACAGGTTCATGTATGGTTTTAACAGAACCTTCAGTGGGCGTTAAACCTATCATAATTAGGCCATTTCTATTCTCAAACATCTTTGCAAATATTCATTCTATTTCTGTCTGAATCGATCTCAGGGAAAATATTCTCTTTCTGAAACCCACCAGTGTTTTGTCTGGAAATGAGCATAAATCAATTCATTGATTTTTCAGTATCGCTTTAACATGGAATCTAATACACATGGAGCAAACCTTCGTCTTTATGCAAATAATCTGCAAACCGCACTATCACTTTGTGACAAGCGTGTACAACATGACGTACCGTTTCTCAATAGATTGCTGCATGTATGGCATATGATCGCCTCAAATGTACATGTTATGGGAACCAGGAGAAGTTGTATATAGAAACTAGCCATATGGAGTATAGGTATGGTATAAACCTGTTATACAACGTCGAGTGTCATCGTATACTTTTCACTCTGATTGTCAAGGATTGGCTTTCACGATTATTATCTCCGACTGGGTGGAGAGGTGCATGGGTGTGTTTTTGTTTGAATAGATCGGGGTAGATTTGGGTGGATTGATCATCTGTGGACAAGAAGCTACTGGCTGGCGAGTGTGCAGGGATTTGGTTCCTGGGTGTTATTGACATTGTCTGTGAAAGTGGAACATTAGAGAGGCATGTTGTCACCATCTGTATTGATGAATGCTGCATAAGCTGTAGCCTTCAGTGGCATATATCACAGTCTCACCGTGAGTCATCATCAATACTATCTGTAATTGTAAGTAGTAACATTGGAGTTTTCTGTTTGTTTATTGTGAAACACATTTTATGGACTAATAACTGATATAAAGGCTGAACACTTGTACAGTTGTAACATGACAGATGTTGGCTGTGTAGTGTAAGAATTAATTTCCTATTAAGGATTTTGGCTAGAATTGGTGTTCAGCAACCTATGCTTGTTGTAAGAGTCAACTAGGGGATCAGGTTATCAGTCTCACTGACTTGGATGGCGTGTCTTTGTGTTGCAGTTGCATAGGTTGATGCTCATGATGTCAATCACTGGATTGTTGAGTCCAGACTGAATTATTAACAGCTAGAAGTTTCAGTGTGTGGTGTTTAACAAAAGGAAGTAGATGATAAGGGTTCAGTAAATGTTAAATATTGTGAAAAAAGTCTTAGAGATTCTGTTTTTATTTCAGGACATTTTGAGATTCAGAGGCAGGTGAAGCCCACCAAGGACTATCAATTAACATCCAACCTTCAACACTGAACAGCTCAACTGGAAATATGTAGGTAAGTACTCTCTCTAATAATTGTCACATGGATGTTTGTCTAGCATGAAGGTTATCCTGTATGCCAAGAGTAGGTCTTCATACATCATGGAGGTCTTCATGCACCGTGCTGGTCTTCATGCATAGTATAGGTCTTCACTAACTACACAGGTCTTCATGCATTGTCATCTCATGACATCTTCATGCATGTCAGCTTACATGTAGGTCTTCACTAACTACACAGGTCTTCATGCTATGTACAGGTCCTCATGACATCTTCAGGCATGTCATCTTACATGACAAGCGTAGGTCTTCACTAACTACACAGGTCTTCATGCTATGTACAGGTCCTCATGACATCTTCAGGCATGTCATCTTACATGACAAGCGTAGGTCTTCACTAACTATACAGGTCTTCATGCTATGTACAGGTCCTCATGACATCTTCAGGCATGTCATCTTACATGACAAGCGTAGGTCTTCACTAACTATACAGGTCTTCATGCTATGTACAGGTCCTCATGACATCTTCAGGCATGTCATCTTATGACATGACAAGCGTGCTAGGTCTTCACTCAACTACAACAGAGTCTTCACTAACTATACAGGTCTTCATGCTATGTACAGGTCCTCATGACATCTTCAGGCATGTCATCTTACATGACAAGACAATAGGTCTTCACTAACTATACAGGTCTTCATGCTATGTACAGGTCCTCATGACATCTTCAGGCATGTCATCTTACATGACAAGCGTAGGTCTTCACTAACTATACAGGTCTTCATGCTATGTACAGGTCCTCATGACATCTTCAGGCATGTCATCTTACATGACAAGCGTAGGTCTTCACTAACTATACAGGTCTTCATGCTATGTACAGGTCCTCATGACATCTTCATGCATGTCATCTTACATGACAAGCGTAGGTCTTCACTAACTATACAGGTCTTCATGCTATGTACAGGTCCTCATGACATCTTCAGGCATGTCATCTTACATGACAAGAGTAGGTCTTCACTAACTATACAGGTCTTCATGCTATGTACAGGTCCTCATGACATCTTCAGGCATGTCATCTTACATGACAAGCGTAGGTCTTCACTAACTATACAGGTCTTCATGCTATGTACAGGTCCTCATGACATCTTCAGGCATGTCATCTTACATGACAAGCGTAGGTCTTCACTAACTATACAGGTCTTCATGCTATGTACAGGTCCTCATGACATCTTCAGGCATGTCATCTTACATGACAAGCATAGGTCTTCACTAACTATACAGGTCTTCATGCTATGTACAGGTCCTCATGACATCTTCATGCATGTCATGTCTGACAAGCTATGTAGGTCTTCATGTCACCATGACAAGCGTAGGTCTTCACTAACTATACAGGTCTTCATGCTATGTACAGGTCCTCATGACATCTTCAGGCATGTCATCTTACATGACAAGCGTAGGTCTTCACTAACTATACAGGTCTTCATGCTATGTACAGGTCCTCATGACATCTTCAGGCATGTCATCTTACATGACAAGCGTAGGTCTTCACTAACTATACAGGTCTTCATGCTATGTACAGGTCCTCATGACATCTTCATGCATGTCAGCTTACATGACAAGAGTAGGTCTTCATGCACCATTCAGGTCTTCACTAACTATACAGGTCTTCATGCTATGTACAGGTCCTCATGACATCTTCAGGCATGTCATCTTACATGACAAGCGTAGGTCTTCACTAACTATACAGGTCTTCATGCTATGTACAGGTCCTCATGACATCTTCAGGCATGTCATCTTACATGACAAGCGTAGGTCTTCACTAACTATACAGGTCTTCATGCTATGTACAGGTCCTCATGACATCTTCATGCATGTCATCTTACATGACAAGCGTAGGTCTTCACTAACTATACAGGTCTTCATGCTATGTACAGGTCCTCATGACATCTTCAGGCATGTCATCTTACATGACAAGCGTAGGTCTTCACTAACTATACAGGTCTTCATGCTATGTACAGGTCCTCATGACATCTTCAGGCATGTCATCTTACATGACAAGCGTAGGTCTTCACTAACTACACAGGTCTTCATGCTATGTACAGGTCCTCATGACTTCTTCATGCATGTCATCTTACATGACAAGAGCATGTTTTCATGTTGTACACCCAATTCCGTCTGGTGTCAAATACTAACAAGCCAACTTATTTACCAGTCCAGTTGAAGAACCTGGAGAAAGAGATGGGCCTGGTGTTTTTCATGGGTCAATCTGAAGCACAAATACAGGTTGTTTTCTGTGTTTCATAACCTTGTAAGGGGCAGTAATATCACTAGACGTGGTATAAACCCCATGTCGCCCAGCATTAGCATCAGTCTATGTATTCTGTTTCTCCCCAAGCTGCCTATGCAACATGATCGATTCAGTTAATATATTCATGATGTTGCTATTTCTGCACTGCTGTCTGATACATGTCTAAAGTTATCAATACTGTGTGCACAATCACATTCATCGTGATGGAGGCAGTTCTGATTAGTATGCCATGTCACCAAATCACAAAATCTAAGACCAATATCCTTAGTCTGTCGTTGTGGCCATACTGCTGACAAGAAGTTAAAGTACACCCAATTTATTTAACATGGCAACAGATACTGTGCCTTAGCTGATGGGTATGTGCTGTATATGTAGTGAATAGTATATCAACTGTTATAGAGATTCATTGGCCTTAGATTAGATACAGTCGTGTATACGTGTATGCACGCACGCACGCACACACACACACCACAGTGGTATAAGGTATGACAATGCAGAGCTGTCTCCCTTGAAGAGATAGGATTTGAGTAATAACCTTGAACATCCATGACAACATATAATTTTGTAAAATTAAACACACATACAGAAATATTCTTCCAGGTGGTGCTGAATCTCAATCAATCAATCTAAATCAATCAATCAATCAATCAATCAATCAATCAATCAATCAATCAATCAATCAATCAATCAATCAATCAATCAATCACTCACTGTTCTAAGGTAGTCACACAGAATCATACAAGTGCATGCACTTTGTTTTGTAAGTGCAATAATCCTGAACTCTATTATAAATCCCTTTCACTTCAACTGTTGATGACAAAATCTCCTTCTTGGATGACACCCTACCAACCCATTACAACAGGACAACATAACTACACTGAAACACTGTATATTTTTAAAAGAATAAAAGAAACCAAAAAAACTACTTCTGGAGAATGAAATCTGCTCGTCCCGAAAGTGTAAATGAGTCTGATTGATGTATGAAGTAGACAGTGTATTGAGCTGATCTATCTGGGTGCCTGGGAAACAGATAGCGGCCATCCACCTCTGGATTAGGTAGAGTGAAATCTGGCAGCCCGTCTTGAGACCGGTGAATGTCGTTGTCACGTTTGTGGCACATATGAGCTGTGTATACCTAGAACATGACATGCATCTCAGTGTTCACACCTATGACTGGCCTCTGCCTGAATGTTAAAAAGGGCGTGGCTTAAAATACTTGCCACACCCTAATGTTTGAATTAACAGCAAACTACTCTGGTGTGAAAATACACCACAGAAAGAGGAATGTGGTCTTCTTATGATCATGCAATCTGGTTTAACGAATTGTCGATTAAGAATGATGGAAAAATGAGGACATTAAATCTGGACTTTGGGGGATACAACTGATAGCTGGAGAGTTAGAGAACCCTGTCCATAGATGTTCCACGGCAGACTGTCCAAGTACCATTGGTTGATGTGAAAGTCAACTAGAAGTTTGAAAATTGCATTTTCACTTAACTGATTTAATTATTAGAAAAATTAAAATTCACATTTGTCATATATTATACCTGAGGCAGACTTTGTAAAAAGGCAATGGCTTGACATTTAGCAAAACGATGAACAATGCACTATATACAATGTATGTTTATATACTCATAGAAACAAATAAGGGAACACATGAAAGTACAAGTGTTCCTTTATATATTTCCAGAATTTCACACACAGTGCAATACATACCTTGTGAAGAAACCTGGAAAAGAATAAAGGAACACTTGTATTTTCAAGGTTGAAATACCCTTTTGTCACTCATAGTCTCTGTGGCACAACAGTACAATAGTGAGTGAGTGAGTGAGTTTAGTTTTATGCCGCTTTTAGCAATATTCCAGCAATATCATGGCAGGGGAAACCAGAAATGGGCTTCACACATTGTACCCATGTGGGGAATCAAACCCAGGTCTTCGGCTTGATGATCGAATGCTTTAACCACTAGGCTACCCCACCACCCTTAACAGTACAATAGAATAATGATGATAATGCCTGACTTCCTTGGTTTGTATTCATGTTGACTGGCAAATATCTTAAACGGTTTAATCGTTTTGTGAAATGGTATTTATTGGTTCAAGAAAACTGTAACTGAAGAAATGCAACGAAAATACATTTTCATAGACAAAACAAAAGTTAAGGTGTCTTTAATTTCTTTTGTTCAGATAACCTTTGGGGCGGTGGGGTAGCCTAGTGGTTAAAGGGTTCGCATCGTCACGCCGGAGACCCGGGTTCGATTCCCCATATGGGTACAATGTGTGAAGCCCATTTCTGGTGTCCCCCACCGTGATATTGCTGGATTATTGCTAAAAGAGGCATAAAAACCAAACTCTCTCACTCACTCACTCACTCAGATAACCATTGTTAATCTGTCATATTGTTGTAGATAACTACAATCAAGTGAGAACATTTCGTCCTTCTTCTTTCATTTTTTGTCTCTTCTTCTCTACTTCTTAAGAGTTGTATATTATCGGTTAATATCAGGATCACCTGTGATCATTCACGCCATATGAATTTCTTCATATTAATTTTTGTAAATAAATAATAAAGTATATGCATCTTTTGTTAAAAAGGAAGCATTTTTCAGATATGATGAATTTTACACACCTTGATGTTACAACAAAGAAATCAATTACTGTAAATAATTACCTTTTTTCACCTGTAACAGTGTTAAGACAATGACAAGTGTCTA